TTATGTTTAAATATCTATTTTAATTTACATAAATGATAAATGTTTTTTTATCATTTTTATATAAATTTTTAATTTTTAAAATCATTGTATAATCATACATATTTGTGAGTTTATGTATTGTGATAAAATTATTAATCTGTATTTATAAAAACTTATGTTACTCTTCAGTCTTTAACAGTACATTGTGTTTATCATATGCATTTTTCTAAATTTGTGAATATTGAAAATTGATTAATTCTTTACTAAAATTGAATAAAGGTAGGTTGAACTGAATTGTTTTAATTTTTTAAAATGAATAATTTTGATTTCTTCAAACTAGATATTATAGCATGGCTTCAAGCTCAGAAAGGAACAGTCTTGTCACAATGAATGAATTATTAGCTTGTCTTGAAGATTTGGTTGTTGAAAATGCAAATGCTATGAATGTGCACTCATACTGCCTTCTTTAAATGAATTGACTGATGATAAAGATCTTGACAATAATCTTACAGGAGAAAACAATGTTAAGTTCTACTCCTGGATTGTGCAAATGAAGTCTAGTTTACTTAATGGATATCCTTTCAAAAATATCTTACCCGAAGTATTAGATTCAACAGTGTTGATCACTTGATGATAAGTGATAAAAGCAAAAGAAAAAAAAATGCTGTTATTGCAAGAATAATAGCATTTGTGTGTTCAGAAAATGCAAAGTACTTGCATCCAAACTATTTTCAAAAGTTTCATTCAAAATAATTAATTATTAAGTTATAACAATGACATATATGCCTCTTTCCAATATATAAAGTTTTCTTATTAATGTTAAAATTTGACCTCAAAAATTAAAGTTGCATACATGCGACTTTAATTTTTCCATACATGGAGAATCTGATAGTTTGTCATCAGTGATTTTGATGAAATTTTGTAGATTTGTAATATTTACTTGTACTTAAACTTTACCAAAGCTATTCAGACATATTTGAAAAAATTAGGATAAAAGTTTTGTACAACCATTAATACTAATACAGAAGGACTGATTTATGAAGTAGTGGTATGATATGATTAGTTACTGTGTCATGAGGAAGCTTTGTTTTTGGGTTCAGTTGCCATAAGCAATTATTTTTTTACATTTATAATTTAATCTTATCATTTTAAAATATCTTATGTACAATTTTTAAGATCATTAAAAATATATATTTTTACTTTAATCACTCTATTTTTAGAAAGTACATTTAACATGCATTATAATCACATTTTATTTTATTTAATATAATGTAGGTTTTTATACACAATTTAATGGAAATATTACAGCCATATGTAAAAAATGAATTTTTATTAATAGATTTGTGGGATGATCAAACAAATTCTCAAATATAAAAAAAAAAATATTTTTTGTAGATAATGAAGATATTCCATCTTTCCAATTAAAAATTATCCTGCCGAAACATACTTCTCTTTGTCAACCTTGCAATATTTATTTTAATTGACAGGTTAAAAAATTTATCAAAAAATTAGAAAATTGTAGTTTTCTTCTTAAAACCAATAGTGAAAATGCTATTAAAATACAATTTCTAATTCACAACCAGTTGAACACACCAGTTTTTGTGACATGTTGAAATATGCAGAGTTTGAGAATAACACATGAAAGAAATATTTTCAAAAACGTTAATGAAGTTTATTATTTACTATCTGTTGTTAAAACAAAATATGAAGACTGTATGAGTGAATTAGCAATTATTGTATGTGTATAATGCAACCAGCCATGATGATTTAATTGTTTTTATGAGAAATAAATTATTAAACTCTCTCTCATATTTTTCAAAGATGCCTTTAATATCTCAAAAAAAGTAGGCTGTTATAATTGATGATTAGAGATAAAAAAGAAGAAAAACTGAAACCAATAGGAGTGGTGTACAGAATGACTTGGAACAGTACATGTGCCCAAATGAAACATCAGTGAAATGAAATGCCTTCTGGAAATAAGATTAGCAAAACATGAAGCAGCCATAGACTAAAAGTTAAAATTCTCTTTGGTTTCAACACTGATAAAAAAAATAATAATAATAAATGTAAAATTAATAAAAAATAATAAAATATTGTACAGTTAAACCTGTCTATATCAAAAGAGTTATTTGGTCCTTTGGCGAACCCCAAAGGACCAAATAACTCTTTTGTAGTAGACAGGTTTCTGCTATATACAGATTATCTACTATAGGTATCTCTTCATTAATGTGATTAATAAATTTCTCCAAGTTTTCCGTGTATACCAAAATCGCATTAATCAAATACATTGGTACAGTACCTCTGCACTCAACTGAACAATCACCTCATGCTAGAACAAATTTTTGGTTAATAACAAATATTTTTATTTTAACTTTAATTTTTTCATTTATCCATAAAAATGTTCTCAAAGATAAAAATGAGTAACCAGTTTAAAAATAAAATAAAATTGTACAGCTGCTTATCTTCACCAGATAAAATTATATTTAATTCAGTTCATTTTTTCATAAGTGAAAAAAAAAAATAAACAAACTTCGGTCAGAACACAATCATCAGCATCTTTTACAACCATTTCAACTGGATGAAATGTTTCAACAATACATGTCTGTAACATACTAAGATTTGTTGCAAATTCACAAGTTATTGTTCATCAGTCTTTAACAATTTCTTCTCACAAATTCTCTTCAACAGCTTTTGAGGTCCATACGTTTTGTATCCTTTAGTTTAAAATTTCCTGAACAAAACTTTCAAAACCACATTTGACACATTTGGAGTTTATAATTATTTTTTCTGTACACAGTATGAGTATTTTTTACTGTTTGTATAGTGTGATATTCTTTATGAAACTTAAAAGCATGCATAATATGCCCAATGTGTATTTTATTTGCAGATATTTTGACTTGATTTTATTCAAAAAAGTGATGTAAAAAAGTTCAAAATAAGCTTTAAAACAAAGAATACAATTTCACATCAGGAATAATGTGTTAAATATCACAACTTATAATTACATTACATATTTATGTTAAATAAAAACAGCTGTTAATAGAACTTTATTCAAATCCCAATAAAATTACTGTAATACAGCAGTCATATTTTGCATTGCATATGTGTATTTTTTGACCTTTTTTTATGATTTATACATGCTAGGCTTGTTAAATTTGGATTAATTTTGATATAGATACTGATTGTTTTGTTATATGGCTCAATTTTCCTTTGTTTTTGTGCTAGACAGTATCTGTTATATACAGGTTAATTTACAGTAATTTTTGCAAAAAATTCAAGGGGCTGAAGAAATTTTCTGTTAATGATAGGTTTACACTATAGATAAGTTTGACTTTATAAGGAAAATATAGTTAAATACAGAATTAAAGAGCAGTATTTGATGATAAAATATGATAATAGCTTTAATTTAAGTAAAGGTATGATGCCGTGCATGCTGGGATGAGATTGTCCTAGTATAAAAGAATGTCACACAACTAAGTTTGTTGTATGGTATCTCTGGATTGCCAAATGTGTGTAACATCAGTTCATTAATATTTAAATAAAAAAAATTTTTTTTTGTTATTTGCTGTATCTAGATGGCTTTGATTCACCTCTGAAGTCTACATAGAGATTGATTTTCGAAAAATTTTATATTTTGATATTTAATTATCAATTGAAATTGCACTGATCTCATTGATAAGCTTTATATTTTATATACATATATATATATATAAAAATTTAAGTTCCATATTGATATGCAAATATTAATATAATGATGATATTTTTGAAGTAGGTATTATTTATATTCATACATGAAGTATGAAGTTTAACTTAAAATTAATAAGCGCTACCCTATAGGAATAGGAAAGTGGGAGAAAGAAAGACTTACTGAACATTTTATACTGTCCTACAGTTATACATTTAGTTCATTCTTTTCCCTAGATGTAAGTAGATACATATTGAAATTTAGATGTATTCTTACATCTTCAATAAAAAAAAATACTGGACTATAAAATTAAAGGAGGAGTTAATATCAATTTGCTTTTAAACTGAAAAAGTTTTTGATGGAAATTTTTAAACAGATTTATACAATGCAAATATTACCAAAATCTCCATGGCCGAAAATGTCTGTGCATCATTTCATGTATAATTATTGCTTTTTTCAATGTCCAGGGTATTGTGGTGGCAGAGTTGGTTTTATTGCTAGACAATAAATCATCATATGATATTGAATTCATTAAAATTGTGACAGACTGAAACAACTGTAAATAAGTGGTGGCTTTTACACTACAACAATATTCCAGCCCATAATTAATTGTGAAACAATTTTTAACTAATAAAACTAATAAAAATGTCAGTGCTTGAGCATTTACCTTACTTGCCAGACCCATTCTTCCTGCTTTCAATCAGTACGTCTTGTATCTTTTTCCAAAAACAAAGCCATGTTCAAAGACACTTGCATGTCAGTAGGTGTGAAAATAAAATTAAATGAGCTCCTTATCAATCTTACAGAATATGTTCTGTGGAATTTCTCTGAGTTATGATAGCTGTAACTCAGAAGAGAACTAGCTTGAAAACAGTCATTGTTCTTTAATAATTTAGTATGAAAATTTCCAACCTTTTTCTTGAAAGTTGTCAATACAAGTCAAAGTGGTCATGTATATATATTATTTTTTAACAAGTTTTTTATATTTGGAAAATTTTGAAAATTATAGTGAAAATATTTGAGTAATTTTTAAATGACTGTATTTACTAAATAAATAAACAGTATTAAAATATTATATATACATGTAATGTACAATATGCATCTAATTTGTTTATCAATCTCCTTTCAAACTTTCAACAACACCTAAGGGATTAATACTGTCCCTGTGGGAAGCCCTGATTTAGTAAATCAAGTTATGGACACAATGGCCTTTTATGCCAGACTTCATATATGTAATTTTTCTGTTTTGTGTATTATATTTAAATTTTTATGGTTGTAATTTATTTCATTCACATATTTATATTGCAATAATAATAAGTAAAATTTTTTTTATCAGAATGGCAACAATAATGAGTAGACAGAAAGAAAATCTCCTGTATTTAGAACAAGTTAGACAACATATATCAAGACTTCCATCAATCGATCCAAATACAAGGACTATATTAATATGTGGTTTCCCAAATGTTGGAAAATCAAGTTTTATTAATAAGGTAACTTCAAATAAAAAATTTTTATAATTGTATTTCAAGGAGATTTAAACTATAATTTTTAGTAAGAACTAAAAATAAACTACAGTAATTCCCTGAGTTACATAACATGCAACTTATGTAAATTTGCAGTTACATAAAATGTAAATCTCAAAAATTGGAAAAAATTTGAATTAGTGTAACATGTAATTTTACAAAGAATTATTCTATTTAAAACATTCATTCATTCATTCTCTCTCATCCTATCTTTCTTTTGTACTATACCAATTTATCACTTTATTACTCTGCTAATCCTTTACTTTTCAGTCTAATTTTAAGCACATACACAGACACTCTTTTTCGTAAACAAGGTTCTACAGTACTTAGTGAAGGTCGAGCAGCGAAACCAATCGCATCTTCATTGCTTCTTTTTCTATGAGTATTGTTTTATGTCATTAGTGTAGTTTGCATCAAGTGATTTGTTTAATACATAACCTGTTTATTACCACTCCATTTACATAGTATTTGTTGTTTATTTACACTATTGAACTGTTAAAATGCAATCAAAACAACAAACCAAATTTGTTGGTAATAAACCAAAAAACAAAGGTATGCAATTACTTTAGAAGAAAAATAAAAAATAATTTGTATATATGAAGACTGGAAGATGATAACAATAATAGCTGAGGAAATGAATAATAAATTTAATATAATATAAATTTTTTCATCTACTAGTACGTATTTTCTATTATCAGGACTTATTAGATTTACTTTACGGATACTACAACAAAACCAGTCTAATAAGTCCTGATAATAGAAAATACGTACTAGTAGACGAAAAAATTTATATTATAACTAGATGCAAGGACCTGCTTCGTTGGGCAAAAAGTAACGATAGTGAAGATTAAGATAATTACATTATAGCTAACCTTACCCATTTTCACAGAATGGAAGAATTAGGTTCCCCGTTTCCAGACTAATTAGAGAATTTTTACGTTTAGTCAAACGAACTATTTTCAATTCTGGAACATTTACAATCGTTCTATAATCGAACAAATATTCGAATTTTATGTTCGAATTTAATTCGAACAAAACATTCGAAATAGAAAGCCACTTTCAACCACTTTCAGCCTCATATCTCCCGCATCCTTATAGCTATCGAGATGCAACCACCCCTATGCACGAATGGAGACTTGGGACTACCACCACATACAAACAGCATTCACGTGCGATGTGTAGTTTTTGCGGAAAAGTGAAATATAGGGACTTACATGTCCGTTTTTATCTATATACTATATAGATAAACCAAGGACATTGAGGCATATTAATTTAATAAATTTCATATTTCAGATTATTTTTCGTTCTTTCTTTGTTTTGTTTATATATGTACTTTGTATTTCTGTTGTTCTTTTATACAAAAAAATAATAAATAATGTAGGTACTGTACACATACAATAATTACAGTATTGAGTTATTAATTATGTAATTACACTTAAGAAATTTACAAATTTGACTTACATAACTTGGATAATTAATGTATAACTAAATTTTAAAAAGCATATAAGTTAATTGTGTTTTTGTTCAAAGAAATTTTTTTTTAAATATTGTCTTTCTTTAACATTATCCACTCCAGTTTTGCATTAGCCACAAGTACTGGTAATATCAGGTTTCCAAAATTAACATTTAGCTTTAAAAATCTGTTTATTAATACCAATTTAATTCAAGATAATGTGAATGCCATTGTTATAAGAAAGAATTTATTTTATAGATTCTGTTATTTTTAGTACATATTATGTAACCTACAAAGTCAGCGGCAGATTAAGCAGTAAGTGGACTAATCAGCCATTTAGGGCCCTGGAATACAAAAGGACTTTGAGGTCTTGAAAATGCTACTGAAAAAAGGGATTGCGAAAGATGGATAGTCCAGAAAGACACTTTAATATAGACATTGAAGTAATAAATTATATGGATTTATGGCCAGCAATATTGGCAAATGCTATTATTGACCATATTTTTAAAAGCAAACCAAAAAATATCAGAAATACAGTGGAACCCCGGTTAACGAACTTAATCCGTTCCGTGACTCCGTTCATTAACTGAATTGTTCGTTAACCGAAGCAATTTTTCCCATAGAAATTAATGCAAATGCAATTAATCTGTTCTAGTCTCAGAAATTTTTGTCATTTTATTTGTAATATACAGTAATTTTCTTTGATGAAAATGTAGGAAAACATAGTATCTATCATTACAGCAACAAACATGTAAACTTTGTTTAATAAAATAGCACTGTACATACCTTTGTTTGTTGTAGTTGCTGGCAGAAAAGTGGAGATATACGAACCTTAATGCTTAGAAAGGGAATCCCGTCCAAAAAAAATAATGGGTAGCACTTCATCGGAAGATTCTTCGAGTTGAAGTCTCTTTTGGTAAAAAAAACCCACCAGTAGCTAAGTGGTCTTCGTACCTTGAACACGGGGAGTTCGTTCGTGGGTTTGCACCTTACTCAGACGGGCTGGCCATGTGGAGTTTTCCAGGATTTCTCCACGTCTGTAACGCCTAAATAGGGACCAGTTTCCCTTAAAAACACCTCCCAGAAGGCATTCCCCCTAGTCAGATCGCCCAAGTGTTGCTTTGTCAAAACTTAACAAAGAAACGAACTCTTTGTGTAAGGAACAAGAAATTGATCTAAAGTTGATTGTCATACTCTTTTAATCAAAATTTTTCTCAAATGCGATAGCGCATTGTCGTTTATATTGCGTTGTCGTTTTCTAATGCCACTATGACTTTTTACTTTCTTTGATGCCATATTGATTAAATATATAAATCACAAAACTGAAAAAAGAAGTATAGCAGAAACACTCGGAAAAGCAATGCTTAACTTGCGCATGCCTAATACCAACAAAAATTTGACACAAAATACCGTTACATTCGTTATCCAAGACAAAATTTTTGCAAAATAAAAGTTTGTTAACCGACTTGGTCGTTAACCAAGACGTTTGTTAACCGGGGTTCCACTGTATAGAGAATTTGAAATCAGTATATAAAGAGAGATGAAGTGACATGAGGGCATGCAAAATGCATGCAGTCAGTGCATGTAGTGCAAGACTATAATAAAAAGGAGGACAAAACGCACTATTAAAGACATTTGCTGCAAGTTCAAGTGAGTTTGTACATGCAATATGACTAGAAGAAACCATCTGGATGACTACATGTGATAGAATGATTGGCGAGTTTGAAGGGAACATAGTGTAATGAGTGTAGCCCAAGAGTTTGGAATCAACAAAAGTGTTGTTTCACGGCTGTAAGAAAGGTTGATGATGGTCGTCAAGAAAAACAATACCAATGGATGACTGATATATCCTCCTGCAGGCAAAAAGAGATCGATACTAGTCAGCAAGCAACATTGCTCTGCAGCTGTGTATGGCAACAGAACAAAAAGTGTCACAGTTTAATATGGCCAGATGCTTTCATAAAGGCGATCTATTTGCCTTCCATCCTGAATGCTGCATCCCATTGACAGCTGCACATCGGAGGCACTGTTTAGACTGGTGTAAGGAACACAAAGACTGGACATCTCATCAATGGAGTTGCATCTTCTTTACAGATGAGTCATTTCAGTATCACAAGTGATTCTCAATGCTAGTTGATATAGAGAGAGGTAGGGGCATGGTTTTGTCCCACTAACATCATGGAGAGATCATTATGGTGGTCCTGGTGTGCTCATTTGGGGAGGCATTATCATGAACAGGTGGACTGAGCTCCAAATTTTCAATGGAAATACTGTTACTGGAGATTACTGTTATCAGCAAGTGATCTTTCCCCACATGCATCTGTTCTGAGGTGCCATTGGTGCAAACTTTGTTTTTATGGATGATAACTCCAGAACACATCAGACTCGTGCTGTTGAGGAGCTTCTAGAGAGTGAAGATATCACTAGAATGGATTGGCCAGCGTACTTTCCTGATTTAAATCTCATAGAACATGTGTGGGATGCTTTAGAGAGACTGAAATAGATGCTCATTGAGGAATGGGCACTCTTACCTTAACAACTGTTTGATAATCTGATGTTAAGTATGGAAAGATAGTGCCAAGTAACCATTGCAGTTAAGGGAGCTTATATCCCTTACTAAGGGACATCTGTTTGTTATTCTCACTCTTGAGCAGACAATCATTTGTACTAATGCTACTCTTTCAATAAAGCCTTTTTTTGTTTGATTCCATAGTGTATGCATTCTATTCATTTTTGCTCTAGTATGCTTTCTTCATCCTTTAAACACAAAATACCGTCTCTGTATTCTGAATTTTATGTCTTCCAGGTGATTTCTTGCAGAGTTATGGCCCAAAAAAAAAATTGTTGCTTAAGTTTTGCACACCAGTGTATATTATATAAATTTTAATTTTAAATATTTCTAAAATTAATTACTAAAAATAAATTTATTAAAATAACAGATAACAAGAGCTGATGTTGATGTTCAACCTTATGCATTTACTACAAAATCTTTATTTGTTGGACATACTGATTATAAATATCTGAGATGGCAAGTATGTATATTTTGTAATTTAATAATAAATAAATTTTTTTTGCATATACATACATGTATATATATTATGGTTATGAATCATTTATTTCTGTTAACAGGTTATTGACACACCAGGTATTTTAGATCATCCTCTTGAAGAAAGAAATACAATAGAAATGCAAGCTATCACAGCTTTGGCTCATTTGAGAGCATGTGTCTTATTTATAATGGATCTTTCTGAGCAATGTGGCTATACAATAGAAGATCAGGTAAATAATTTATCATTATTGTAATAGAAAAATAATAATGTAAATAGTAATAAAGAAGTTTTTTACTTTTTCAGATTAGTTTGTTTGAAAGTATTCGTCCACTGTTTGTCAATAAAGTAAGTTGTTATATTAAATAAATTATGAAAGACTGAAACTTACCAAATAAATATAGCTATCGTAAAGTTTAAAATCTTTTCTTTTCTTATTAATAAAAAAAATTATGGCAAGTGATGATGATTTCAATAAAAAATTTAATGTTTATTTATGTTATTAATTTCTATGTATTTACTTTCCTGTTATAACATTTATTTCAAGGAATAAAGTAATCGTGAATTCAAATTATAATTATTAACATTTATTTCATGTCAGCTCACAATCAGACTTAATGTGGAGTTAATTGATTTGGTTTGTGAATGGCTCCATATAACAGTCAGGAAAGTAAAAAGGGTTCATTAAGTTTATAAAAAAGACTTGTAATATTTTTCAAAGTAAAATAGACTCTCAAATAATTTTGTAACAGCCCATTTCATTTAAAATCACCAGTCTTGCATTCTTAATAGTTAAATAAATTATAAAACTGAAATTGAAGTAAGTTATTTGTCACAAATCAAAATTAGTTCAAACCACTCCTAATAGAAATGCATTCAGTGTTACATTTCTCACCTAGAAGTTATTTTCAATAGTGCATAATTTTATTTTGTTATATTATATATAGTAACTCTGGTTTACCAGGTTTTTAAAAAATTTTATATTATAAACATTTGGATTGTGGAACCAGTACAGTCGACCCCCCTATAACATGGGTTCCTATAATGGAAATTCCTATAACGTAGCGAAAAAATTGTAGCAATATTCATATAAAGGAACTCCTAAAACGTCGTCGCTGACTTGTGTCGCAACAAGATTGATAGAATCTGGACCAATAGTGGATGAGCAGCCGAACTACTTTCCTCCACCCTGCGCCACGCTACGGAAAGTTTAGGCGGCTAAATTGAGTTTGCTATCGTCTGTACAGTATTATATATAAATTATATATAAATTAGGTACTGTACATATAATTATATATTAATTATATATAAATTAGGTACTGTATATATAATTATATATTAACTTAATTTATTGTAACTTTATTATAATTATATATATAATTTCCGCCGTCTAGCGCCACGCTACGGAGAGTTTAGGCTAGTAAGTTGAGTTTATTATCATTTGTACAGTATGTAAATTAGGTACCGTAAGTCTAATACAGCACTAATTTTACACATTTCTTGTGAAAGAAACATTTCTTATTCAACGGCCATAAAAATTATTTATATTAATGATGTCTCCAAAGGTCAAGTTATTTTTCTGTGAAAAATTCATTATCAGATATCGCGGCTGCCGTTTCGTGCGCTGTTCCGCGACGAAAACAAGCTTGAGCAACTGCGTAGTTGAATGGTGCACACTCAGTAAGTAATTCTACAATTTTTTGTTTATAGCATAGTTTATACGGATTATTCCCAAAAAATTATGTGTGTTTTGGAAATGTTGAGTGGAATTAATCTAGAATCGGTTAATTTTATAGAAGAAAACCTTTCAAACAGCCTTAGTCTGTAAACTTCACACGTGTCAGGCTGCGAATGGCTCATGTATTTAATGATTCCTACAACGTAAAATTCGATTTACGTGGAATGTATCTAAGCGTTATAGGGGTCTACTGTACAAACAAATATGTTGAGTTGTGTGAGTAAACAGTTTGAGAAATGCTGCTCAAGGCTACTATTTTTTTTGTTCCTCTTTAAAAATAAATTGGGCTACATTTTGAGGAATTTGCTTCACTTTTTATAAAACCTTTCTGGCAACCTGTGAAGTTCTCACCAGACGCATGCGGTTTATGTATAGTTCATTTATATTATTATTATTAATAATTAATTAATGAAAATAATGTTCTGTATACATAGCAATATTCCATTTGCTTAATAAATTACATCACTTACGTGGCATTTGGCATATTGTACAGAAATATGTAAATTCGGATAATTTGAAGTCACGATTATTTTATTCCCTGAATTTTGAACTAATGAGGATTTCCTGTATTTGTTAATTTATTGCATAGATAAGCTTGCTATATATTTTCAATAAATAAAATTTATAAACATGTTTTAGGGGATATTTGCATCCTGTACAATGTTGAGAGCAGGGTCATAATAATTCATGACTGTTTCTGTTTTCATAGAGAAATAGTCTTTTACATTGCTGGAAGAAAAATGACATTAATGGATTTTTGAAAGTTGGTCTGTATTAGAAAGATTAAAATCATGAACTATTTCTAACGATTCTCAAGAATGTTATAAAATGTTTAGTGTCCAGGCTTTGTTATTAACTACAAGTGTTGAAATTGTAGCATTATCCTTTCTTGAGAATGGGTGATTCTTGATTTTTGCATAAATTTGTATATATAAAGTAATTGAAAGGTGCTTTGTTTATGTAGAAGAAAGTTTTTTAAGAGATTAGAATTAGTTTAATGTATATTGTGTGAGCTTAAAAAAAATTTTTTTAATTATCAGTGGTGATATATGATAGCAGAAGATATTGAGAAATTATGTTTTATCTTTATTTATTTACAAAGACATGAACATAGTACACTGCTTCTTTCAGTTCCTCTTGGCACATCACAAAAACATACACTAACATAGGAACATTCAAAATATACAGTTTATGTTGTCTGTTAAGGAGAATACAATTCATTCAGTTACTTTAACAAAACATTATACACCATAAACATTATTAACAAAAATCTCGCTATCATGAGTCTTGTTATAATATTAATTAATCCAGAAATACATTGTAAATTTAGAAAACTAAAATCATTTTTCAAACTGTTATGTGAACAGCTATATTTTATTTTACATAATTGTTTATTCAGTTTATTGTATCCTTGTAGCATGTACTGAAGAGGGGCTAAAGCCTGAAATGCATTTACATTAAGAACGATATTAAAATATATTGGATGATATTCTTGTCTACTTAGTTCTTGTTAGTCAGAAGAAATGTGGCTGTTTTCATTGGGAATTGAAAAATACATTTTTTATTTTTCTAAATTTACAATATATTTCTGGATTAATTATCAAGAAATTTTTTAAAATAACTATGTTATTTAAGGGGGTCTATATTTCATGTTTAATTGATTCTGGAATATATTTGACCTATAAAAACACACTCATTTGTCCAATTATTAATTTACAATTATTTATAAATATTTGTTATGGCAACAAATATTTTTTGCTTATTCCTATTAGACTAAAGATTTTTTTATTATAACATCGTCTGCCAACAGTACAATTTTAGCTTATTTTTAATTAATTTACATTTTTGTTATTTCATTCTTTTTATTTATTTATAAAATGTTATCATGTGAAATTTATGTTATCATAAATTTGATTAAAATATTTAGTTTTAAATTAAAAGGATTTGTGAGTCTTGGACTTTAAAGATGGAGAAATGTTACAGATATTTTCAGATACTGTGATAGCCTATAAAATAACAATGTTTTTTAAAACTTTTTCTTAATATTGCATAAATTTTATAAATTTGAATACAAAGTTTTTTAATTATAAATTATTGATTTTATTAAAAATATTGAGGTATCTTAATTGTTAATTTATAATTATTAAGTTTAAATATATTATTACTTTGAAACAATCTGCTGAATTATCTGTGAAGCTATATTAAGGCAAATTTAATTATATATTAAGTAATTTGACTGGAGCTGGTTAAGCTGACAATCAGAAATAAATACATTTTTCAACTTAAATTTTACATTGTGCATCAGTATGAATTAACTGAGAGGATGCATTCCATTAATATAATAATAATATGGAAGGATAATAATAATAATTGAAAAAATGACAGCATTATGGAGTTTTGCTAGGTAAGTATTAATAGCCTATGATAGTATCTACAGTAAACATTAGCCTAATGAAAACTTTACCTTTGCTTGTAAAACACAGAAAATTTGAGACATACTCTGTGGTTGTTGTTGTTGTTGTTGTTGTTGTTGTTGTTGGTTAAGTTATAGCAATGCAACACTTGGGCGATCTGCCTAGGGGGTGCCTTCTGGGAGGTCTTTTTAAGGGAAACTGGCCCATTTGGGCATTACAGACATAGAGAAAACCCGGAAAACTCCATGTGGCCAGCCTGTCCAAGCAAGGCGCAAACCCACGACCGAACTCCCAGTGTTCAGGATAGGAAGACCGCTTGGGCACTGGTGGGCCATGGTTATATGTACTTTTTCAAAAAAAAAGTCTCCTGTATACATTAAATATTGTAATTGTTGAGTAATTTTTTTATAAGCTTTCCATAAAAAGTTATAAAATTTGGTGCTATGTTTCTTTTAAAAGTTGGCTTCCTGAAATTAGCAGTGATTTATTTATAAGTCAATTGAAACGTGATTAAAATATAATTATGATGATAAAGAGATCCAACTCTGAAATTGTTAAAGATTTCTGAGAAATCTAGTTGTTGAAGTTTTGATATCTGATTAAGTTTATTACACTCATTTGTATAAAGTTATATACTTATAGATTCTGTATAGTATTTCTCTTTCTTTCAGCCTCTGATCCTAGTAATTAATAAAATTGACATTATAAGATTAGAAGAATTGCCAGAAGAAAGAAAAGTAAGTAAGAATGTTCTGGTTTATAATTACTCAGTTAATTTATTTCTAGTTAGAACACATTAGAATATTATATTCTATTTATAAAAATATCAGTTTTTGAGTCTTATTTAAAGTTATGTGAGCAAACATAATGTACTCTGTTTATTCAATAAAAGAACTTCATCAACATAATACACCAAATATCTTCAGATAACAGCAAACCTCTTCACGTTCCGATAAAAACAGATTTGTGATTCATTCCATATTCTGTTTTTATTGGAAGCTGAAGAGGCTTATTGTTATCTGAAGATATTTATTTAATTTTAAGTTTTCAAAATATCAAAAATAATTACATTTAATGCTGAGATATTTATGTTCTCTTAGACAAAAAAAATAATGATATAAATAATCAGTAAGCATTTTTGACAATTTTTGGTATGCTCTTTCAGTTTATTGACAGAATACAGTGTCAATGAATGAAATAGTATAAATAACTTTGCATAGATTTTTATGTTATATAAACTTAATAAAATTACACATTAATTCATTACATTTTCTTATAAAATTTTTATATTTTCACTCAAAAAAAATATAAAATTTATTTAAAGTAAGTGTTCAAATCAAGTTTAAAGTAAAAGATACAAAATGCTTTTAAAATTATAATGAAATTACCTATTTAAATTCACATAAGAGAATGAATTCATCATTGGTTACATGAGGGAATGCCAAGTATAAAAAGCATATTGATTTTTAATGGTACAGTACATAGCAGCTTCCATGCTCACAGCACAGAACAACAAAAATGTAGTAGTGCAAAACAAAAATTAAATATTGTATTTATATCTAACTTTTTAACACTTCTAAAGAAACTTTTCTCCATGTATCTATTTAGATATTCAACCACAGTTGAAGCTTCAAACTGTATAAAATTTATATACTTATGACATGTAACATGAAATTGCACAACACAGAGAAAAGTAGTTTATAAGGCTACATTTCAAACTTAATTCATTACTTTTTTATATTTGTTTACAAGTTTTTGAGATTATTGGTTAAAGAACTATACCAGATATAACAGAAATATGACTATTAAGTTATTTAGAATTAAATTTGTAATTAAAAGTTAAAAGTATTTAACATATATTCTTTTTTTCAAAATTATATTGGCAATTCCAGCCAAATTGACATCCTCTGATGGCAAAAATTCTAATTAGCACAAACAGGTCAGAAATACAAGTGATCTGTGTTTAAAGTATTTGGAATTGTCAAAAAAAGGCTTAAAAATATTTTTTGTGTACTGCATTGTATATCAAGTACCTTAGATGAGAAGGTAAAACATTATTATTGGTTATTCTCTCAATGAAATCAATTCTCTCTGTCATTTAAAACGATGGACATAAATTATGTAAATCTTATTTTAACAGAAGATAAATCTTTTATATCTCTTAATATTTAAATGAAATGTAAATATTCAATATTGCACTGTGTGATAAGTATTTTAAAATAAATTATTCCAAAAACTCCCTGCGTTCTTTTAAAATTTCTGCAACTTAATTTATTCTAATATTCTAAAACAGGCACTCTCATATAACATAGCAGCTAAGATCCTGTAAAATCTAATCTACAGTGAGAAATCATGTTATACAGAGCTAAAAATAGGTAAGAGAAAGGGACAAAAGCTAACAAAGACTTTTAAAATTTGCAGAAATAAACGATGCTGCAGCAATAACAGTTCAAATTTTGAGTTTGTTGAAAATAGTTTTTTAAGACATATCTTGAGTGTAATTTTGTTAGCTTGGATGTCTTTCTGTTTTGTAAAATAACTTTTCAATAAATCTCAGTTATAAACTAGTCTTCGCTGATCTATTTTGAGATCTAAGAAAAATATTCTGTTGCAACTTTATGTTTTAGTTTAATTCCTACATAATTCATTGTTAATTTGTTAATGCTTCGGATGGAATTCTAAAATTATGTTTTATTTGCTATACAACAAAAATTTCATTAGTATATCTATTTGGTGGTGATGTATTTGTGGAAATGGTCAAAGATTGTTTTTCTATGAATGTCAAAACTAGTTTAATCTATATTTCCATTAGTTCATTATTAGCTAGATGAACATTTAATTTGATATTCCAACCTTGTGCCTTTAGTGAATTTAAAACAGAAATGTTGCATTTATGTTCTATTCTTATGTTTAAAATTTGTGTTCAATTTTTGTCTGATGATGAAGGCTGTATGTCTTCAAAAATACTTGCAATTTTTAATAAATACATGTTTTTAACATGGTTAGGTGTGATTTCACTCCCATAGAACATTTTATTTTTGTATTATTCGACAGGTTTGCTCCTTGCATTCAAAATTACATTGCAGAAAAATGATTACAGTAGAGCCTCGATTATCTGATCCCCGATTAACCGACACCTCGGTTAACCAATCATCCTAGTCGGCAAATTTCAAATGTCCGCTAGTGATGAGGCGCTACAATATTTGGCTGTGTCTTGGCTACTTTAATATTATTTTTACGTGTTTTAGCTGGAAACACTCATCCGACCATGAAAGAGAGCCAGTATTTAAACGAGGCTTAATTTTCTAATTTTTAACGATACAATAGCGACGATTATTATTTTAAAAAATTTTTGTTAGGCTTAACATGATGAAAATTCAACACGAAGTAGGTTAGTAGCGATATACTAATTATATGGGATATAATAATATACTATACTAATAATGGATTTTTTCATACTTTTCGGTTATCCGACTTTTCAATTATCCGACCGACCTCAGTCCCCAATTGAGTCGGATAATCGAGGCTCTACTGTATGTGCAATGTTTTTAGATGAATAAATTAGACTGACAATAATAATAGAAAGAATTGCAGTGAAGAACTTGTATGAAATGTCTTATATTATATGATGATAAATTAAGTTTTGAGTTGGAAAACTTACTTTGAAAGTTACTCCTAAAATCTGAAATTTATTTTTAAACAATTAAAAATTTATGGCAAGTTTAAGCATATATATTTATACATATTTTTTTATTTTATTTTGTATATTTAGAACTTTATGTTGAATATTGAGAAAGAAGAAATACCTGTAATGCAGATGAGTACTGTTACAGGAGAAGGCATAATTGAATTGAGAAATGAAGCATGTGACCGCTTATTAGCTCACAGAGTTGAATTAAAGATGAAGAATAAAAAGGCTGATGGTATACTTAATCGCTTGCATGTAGCAGTGCCAGTTCCACGAGATGATAAGGTAAATTTTTATTAATTTTTATATTTATTTTTAATGTTGTAAAAATAAATAATATAAGCCTTAGTAGTATTGGAATATTTTCATAATTTGACAAAATTGTGGAATAAACATTGAAAATAAAAAGAAATGAATTTTATATACTTATTGTTATTTTTAATGTCAATTTTTCATTGATCTATGTATATAATTTAAACTGCTATCTCTGTCTTTATTTACGTTTGATACAATGTTTACTTTAATTATTTTTGCCTTTGCAACTCTGTACTACTAGACTATTATAGAGGATTTATTGGTGATTGTATGAGCAATAAATATCCATTTTATCTGTCTAAAATAAGATTTTGTAATCTTCCAATGTCATTTTATTACTGTCTCTTTGGTCACAACCTATTTTTTCCCGTAATCCTTTGTCTGTATGTTATGACAGTCTTGAAATATAGGATTTGCTTGTAATTTTTACTTCAGATAAGTTGAATTTTGTTATTCAAGTAATTGTTTTGTAGCAAATTAATCTTGCATATATAATGTAGTATAATTATGTGATTTACATAGTTTTATTTTACACAGTTTTGAAATAAAATAATCTTACAACAAAAGTATTGATGATAAATTCATTGTATTGTATATTATAGTAATATTTATAAATGTAATATATTAATAGAAATATGCTTATGAAACTCATTACTATTTCAACGGGTTAAATATTTAGGGATGATTATTAGTTAGACAAATTTTGTTTTTAATTGTAATGTACAGATAATGAAATTAATCTGTATTATATATTTCAGTTGAAGTTTCTGTGAAAATTGTTTTTGTCATACATGAAAATTTTCATTACAAATGGTGCTTATCTTATATTAATTATTAAAAGCAATGTTATTTAATTTACTTTATCTTCATAAAGTTAGTTAAAAAGTATATTGGATTTGTGACTATTTACACATTAGTGAAGCATAGCTTTCTTAATTTTATTGTATTTTTTTGGGGGTAGACTTAATTTACATGAATTTTCATTTATATGCATGCTAAAGGAATGCAATCCATGCATAAATTAAATTACATTTCATATCTTATAATATAATCAAGATGGGTTGATAATAATAATAATAATAAGCACAGAGCCCAAACGGTTAGGAGTTGAAATTTGGTACACAGTTAGGGTAAGCCAAGAGAATGCACACTAAGAAGAGATTTTTGGAAATCTTTCTCCATGGGGAGAGGGAGAGGGTTAAGGAATACCCTGAAGAACTGCTTTTACTGTACTATTTTAGATGCAGATTTTTGCAGGAAATCGAATATATTTTTAGATCCATGTAAAAATTCTCTAATTAGCCTCGGAAGAGGGAGACCTAATTTTTGCACTTGACGAAAACGGGTAAGATTGACTATATAACTATAAAGGTTATCTTATGTAAGGGTTTATCACACCATGTGCCCAATCTACAATAACACATTTAAAAAATTCTTTATTTCTCTACTGTACACAATTTAAAAAATTTTTTAAATGTGTTAGGTTGAGCACTTGGTTTGATAAACTCTTACGTAAGATAACCTTTGTAAATATAAATCAAATACTATAATATAATATAATAGAAGGGTTAGAAGTAGGAAATAATCTAAAAATCTTAATTTTTACTGTTGTTATTTTTGTCTGAGCAACACTAGGCTCATCTGCTAGTCCAGTTGTTCACAACTTTTTTTCATTAGCGTACCCCGTGACGACATGTCATATTTCTAGATTGTACCCCTCATTTAAGAAATTTAGTGAGTAACCGTATTGTTAATTTTACATATTGTAACTTTAAATTAAAGGAAAAAAACCTAAAAGAAAAAATGTATAATAAAGTTGTGATTGTTGCAAGGAACATTTTTTATCTAATAATTTTTTAATACTATTAGTTTGTGATACATAATATATTATTTTTTCTGCCATAATAACTAACTTTTTTCTGTAACCCTAAACAACCTATCACATACCCCTAGGGGTACGCGTACCACAGGTTGGGAATCACTGTGCTAGTCTAATGATATTTTTGCTGTCAATAGGAGGTTTATTTTTAATTCAATGAAGAATATTTGAGATTACTGGTTAAAAAGAATGTATCAGTTTTAGGTGATCAAATCTAATTAACCACTTAATTTTGTACTATAGTATTCATTATTATTGATACATTGTATTGAATATAAAGTAATTTGTAAAAACAAAAATGTTTCAATTATTAATTTGTGTTTAGTAGTAATCTGTGGAGTAGTTTTTCAAGTGTTTATCTATGAAGACTATCCAAAAAATAACTTCCATTTTCATGTGGCAAGTGAAGTAGGGCATAAAAGTGCCCCATTTATGTGGAAGTTTAGTGTAACCCAGTACACATCCAGCAGAAGTAGAGTGAAATTTGTGTAGCTGTTACTCAAAATGTGTATTGCAAATGAGAATTTTTGCCTGCTGTAAAGTATGTTTCTGCCAGGCTCCCATACAGTTTTTATAAGTGATAATTGAAATGTTAAATTACCAAAAGTTCTGTGCCTAGTGGGTTTTTAAGCTGCTTTTGGAATAACACAAGTAACAATGGATGGAGTCGACATTAACTTTTCTTGAGTATTACACCAAAGATGATGATGCTTGTTTGGATTAGATTGTTACAGATGATGAGATTTCAGTCTCATAAATAAACCTAGAGACAAAAAGTGAATCAATGGAGTAGGGGGCATATTTGCTTGCTAAAAAAATATCTAAAATGTCAGCAAACTTTGTCTTCCAGGAAAATCATGGTTCAGGCAGCTAGAATTCTATGAAGATGGTATACAAACATTTGTTAAATTTTACAGCAAGTGTCTCAATTTGACTACAGACTATCTTAAAAATATAGTTAATGGTTATAGTTTTTATTATACAGTAAAATTTATCTAACTGTATTGATGATGATCTGAAGTTACTCTGAATAGCCATCATATTATTTATTTGTGTGATAAAATGTAGTAGTAGTGGTGGTAGTGGTAGTGGTAGTGGTAGTAGTTTTGATAATATTTTAAATTATATATCAAAAGCTGTAATAACAACATTGTTTTAAAAGAGTGTGTGTGTGTATAACTATAACAGTTTATGTAATCTTATAAGATAAATCTTAATTAGTTAATGATACTAAATTATATGGATTGATTACTTTAGAAATATACATCATGTTTTAATAATTTTTTCAAATTGTTTAATAATAGTTTTTTAAAATTATCCTTTTTTTTTAACTAGGAAAGACCACCTTACATTCCAGAAGGTGTTACAAGTAAAAAAAATTCCATGGAAACAGATCAAAAACATAAAAAACTGGTATAGAAATTATATTTTGAATTTGAATTTTAAGTGATTATTTGAGGAATATTTAATTTTTAATAAAATATCTTTTTTCAGGAAAGAGATCTTGAAGTGGAAATGGGAGATGATTATATTCTGGACTTAAAAAGTAAGTAATGTGATTTTGAGAAATAATTATTATAAAATTATAATAATTCTAAAAAAAAATTTTAATTCTTTTTACAATATGTAATTAATCTATTTATTTATAATCAAGATGATGGTATAATACATAATTTACAATTATAGAATAAACATGTAAATCTTCTGAATATTCACTATCGGCTTGCTTATTTGTTGCTTAATGAAAACTAATAAAGTTATGGAATTATCTGGCATAATACAGGGTGTTTCGAAACTCGTAGACAAAAATTTAAGGGGTGATAGAAAACATCTAAACAAGCAATTTTCACCATACAATGCGTGGGCAGAGAGCAAGCTGTGAACCGCTAGACGGCGCTGTAATGAAAAGCATAAAGTGCAATTTTTCTTACACATGGTCATTTCTACCGTGGATTTCAGAAGGCATGACGATGTATAGTAATCAGGAAAAGGCAGACATGCATTTTATGTATGGTCTTGTGAATGGGAATGCTCTGGAAACCAAAAGACTGTACAGGTAGCATTTCCCAAGAAGACACGTGCCAGACTGGAAAATGTTCGAGTGATTGCATCGGTGCCTGTGTGAAATGGGATACTTTGTTACCGGCATGCATGATACACGGCATGGTAGGAGTGTGCGGACCTCCTCTATCAATTCTGTTTGTTGTTAAAAACAAACAAAAGGAAAAAATATTTTGAACTAGAAAAATATAATTATTGTTTTCATTCTTTCATGTGACAGTAACAGATACCTCCTAGTGGTTTACTGCTTGCTCTCCGCCCATGCATTATATGGTGAAAATTGTTAGATGTTTTCTATCACTGCTTAAATTTTTGCACATGAGTTTCAAAACAACTTGTATATAAAAATATTGTATACCTCCAATTTTTATGGGTTTTTTTTAATATAATGGTAATATAATAAAGTAATATTAAACAAAAAATTTGAAGATCCAAATTATATAATATTGCTTTTAATTTTTATCAAAAAATAATTAGCTTATAATTTAAAAAATGTGTTAAGAAGTTTGGAATAATAATTTTTGACATTTTTTTTGTCCAATGTTTACATTAGAAAAATTTGTTATTGTAAATACATTCAAACAGCATAAATAATTTTTAAAGTCAATAACTGTTGCCAGATTAAATTCAAGTTATAATATGGTTAAATAATGATTAAATGAATTATTGATTAATTATATTATAGGCCAATGTAATCAGGTAATAGTTGTTTTACTTGCTGTTGTGGACCATGGATAATAGATATTTCTGGTTTGCATTGTCATTATCTGTATAATTATATGATCTTTATTAAAGTCTGGAAGTGAAAATTGGACAGAAGTTTGGGTAATATAACTCAATGCATCTGTACCATATTACGGATGCGAGTTTGAGCTTTACTCCTGATTGATTTTTTTCCTTCCAGAAATTTCTGAATTATTTAAATTAATATAAACGTATTTTAATTGTTAAATTTAGTACAAGTTGAATAGAACCAGAATAACCATTAACTTTTAATCAAATTACTTTATTTAATTATTATATTAATTAACTGTATTATCTGAATATAATCTAGTGTTATTTATTTGATTCATTGTAAAGTGTTGAGTTACATTCCAAATACAATTGATAGTCTTGGTCTTACATGAATGTTTTCAGAAGTGCTCTACCATAACTTCATGCTTCAAGTCTCCTTGCTTAGTGAATAATGGTTTGTTACAGAAAATTGCCTTGTTTTTAAATAACACATTATGGCTTATCAATTATAATTAAAAATATTGAGACACTAGCATTTAGAAACTTATATAAATGTCACAAACTACTTAATTTCATAATGATGGAAACATCTTGACATACCTTTCTGTGTAGGCAATTACCACAGTTGGCTTATTCCTCCCTGTTGATTAAGGCCAAGATTCCTCCAACGTAAAAACCTTTACCATAAATACTTTTAAGCATGTGACCTATTTGCATTTGTGCTTGGATTACAGTGGAGGTCTGACTCCACAAGCGAAATTTTTATTTTGATGGTACTATCAAAGTTACAGTTGTATACGTGATACGTTGATATAAAGACAATGATGATATTCTATGATTGTTTTTGTATTATTATAATTACAAATGTAGAAAAAATAATATCTTTGCTTCCATATATTAACTTTTATTATATCATAAGATACTATACTGCACTTATATGCTTAACTTTTATTATATACTCATCTAAATTGAAGGATTTTTTTCATTTCCATTTATATCACTTGTTTTAGACATCCATTCTTATAATCAGGATGCCTCTTGTCATATATATGTTACCGCTAAAGCTCGAAAGTCGTTAATGTGTACATTACCTAGATAATCTGCAGATTAACTAGGGTGATCCGTTAAAGTTACTAAAATTGTTCTATGTCTCAAATTACCTAGGTAAAGTGCAGATTATCTAGGTAATCTGCAAATTACCTACTAGGCACTCGGTAAAGTGAAAATAAGATCTTTGCTGGAACAACAGCAATGTTTCTGTATGCTTAAATTAACATAATGTTCTTTATTTACTTTTCGATATCTAGAGAATCAAGTTAATACAATCAACAAATTACTTGATAGAATCAATCATCAACCAATTAAAAACCATACAAAAAATCAAACGGTTTAAAATATTAATAGAATTAGGGAAATTATTATATAGATCAGTGTTTTTCAACCTTCTTGAATATACAACTTCTTTACAAGTTAAAAAAATTCTGGTGACCCCCCCAGGGCCATATTAAAACTATATCAATGATTTTAAAAACTACATATTTAATTTTCTTTCTGTTGAGACCTAAATATCGATCGAAAAACCAATTGTAATTTAAAATAAAAACACAAAGCCTTCTCACTGAAATTGTAGTTTTATTTATTGTAGTGTAGGACCTACAAACGCTTGTCTTTTTCTTTTACCCACAACCCACAGGTTGAAAAACACTGATATGGATAACCACCTATGGAATTTTGGGACTTTGAGTATCTATCTGAACTGAGGGGACCGAGACGACTTCAACAATACCCTACTTTTGGACTGGAGACGAAAAATAATAAAGTTATCATACTTTTTCCGGTGATCACATGATATAATTGTGCAGTTAATGTTACCTATGGTGAGTAAAATGGTGGCTCGTCTCTGATTCCAACAAAGAGAAGAAAGGAAACAGTGGGGACGCACGTTCAAACCTAACCTAACCTATTCTAATAATTTGGTTGGTAATAATTATGGTAATTTATTAGAATAGGTTAGGTTAGGACAGAATGTGCGTCCCCACTGTTTCCTTTCTTCTGTTTGTTGGAATCAGAGACGAGCCACCATTTTACTCACCATAGGTAACATTAACCAATTGTGCTTATTTATTAGTGCAGTCTAAAGATTGGTGACACTTTGAATTTCATAGCAATTGGTTTTTGCGACAAGCAAACCTATTTGTGGCAAAGATCTTATTTTCACTTTACCGAGTGTCTAGTAGGTAATGTGCGGATTACCTAGATACTCTGCACATTATCTAGGTAATTTGAGAAATGGAACAATTTTCACAACTTGTAACGGATCACCCTAGTTAATCTGCATATTAGCTAGGTAATGTACACATTAACGACTTTCGAGCTTTAGCGGTAACATATACATGAATACTTTCGAATGTTTTTAATAAATCTTTCCAGATCTATTTTAGGTCTTTTAGTAGTCATGAGAGAACATACTGTACATAAAAGCTCATTTTCTATCAGTTTTTGCACGATGTCACAATGATGTAGATTCCACTGACTTCTTTCTGATTGGTTGATAGTACAGTTTTACAGACATATTCGCTTCAAAAGTTGAACACTATTTGACTTGCTTTGTGATTGTTTTACAACTTGCTCTGGCATAAAATATCATGATCACACAATTAAAAGTAATTATGGTCACTGTTTTTATGCTCATTTTTATGCCAGTGGAGTCTTGGCTTAACTTCTGCAGAAAGGCCAGTCTATTATTTACATTTAGATAACACAATATGGCATGTTGCAATTTATATTTTAAAATGTTTAAACTCTCACATTTAAAACGTCTTATTTTTCATTTTTTTTAACAAATGTCTTTACTTCTGTATCTTATTTGTTGTACCAAATTATAAAGTAATATTTATATGATAAAATATACAGGTCATACATGTTACAAAACAACTGTTTGTTAACAGCCATAATAATTATTTAGAGATAAGAAAGAAATGTTTTAAGCATTTGATATCATAACATGATAGTTTGATATTATATGTTTTTATTGTGTTTTGGTTACATTTTGAGACGTTGATTGGGGTTCTGGATTGATATTGCAACAAATCATAATTTTTTTCCATTTAAAATAATTGGAAATATCTCCTAGTTAGCATTTCATCATACAATATGTAATTTTCAGGAATGGATTATTAATTTGAAGTAGAGATACTTATGGTCTGTAATCTATACATAGTTTCTATTCTGTATCTTTAATATCAAAATGTAATTCATCAAAATATCACACCCACAAACACCATAATCATCAGCCAATCAACAACTTTGTTGATTGTGGTGTTTGTGGGTGTGATAATTCCTAGAAAAATTAAGGAATTTTGACCAGTTATAAATTGATATGTGGAGATACTTGTATAATTGCTAGCTGATGGTTTTGTGATTTATCTAGATTTATTTAAGTAAGAATGCCTCTTTCCTTGAATTTGAACATTATAGTAAAACATGACTGTTATAAATGGCAGATTTTTTTAAATACTGTGTATAAAAGATATTTAAAAGTAATTTGTCTTATGTCATATTACAATAAATAATAATGGATATATATATTATTGAAATTGAATTTAGATGTTAGAAGTTTGTGTACATTTTGACTTATGTGCAATGACCATTGCAAAATACTAGCTAAAATGTAAATATGACAGACAGAATGGCTCCTTGCTTTCTACATTTATCTATTGTATTATCTTTCAGTAGCATTGCCTAGAATTA